TATATAATAGTACTCAATAATTAAGTAATAAAAATATATAAAACAAATGAAAAATAATAATGTGATAAAGTTGGGTAAAAATTGTGTTGGTGTGAATTTATATAATGATACCACCATCTTAGGAACTTAAAATCGATTCATATCTTTGTATTTAACTCGAGAAAAAGTACAGGATTTATAACCTTGACCAAATCTCCACGATTTTGTGCTCGTTACTTCCGAATGTCGATTACTCTAACTAAAACCAGAGTTTTGGTGCAATTGATAAGGGTATTTGGATTGATTCAGCAAATAGAAGTTACATACTTAAGCAATTTCATTAAAGATTTTTGTTTTACTTCATCAATTTGTCACGTTTTTGTTTTGATGAAACACGTTTCTTTATTTCGGCTGTTCTTTACTTTTACTTTATTGTTCCTTAGACTTTTATTTTGTTTTTCCACGAACTTGATTTAGAACGTGTTTGGGATTGCTTATTTAAAATATTTATTAACTTATTACGGTGTGTGTGTGTTTCCGTCAGAAATGTCATTTTCTCCATAAGAATTATAAATATTTAAAGGTGTCCTTATATTTTGTGAACATGACATGCCTTAGAGAAACAGATGAATGTACACATGAAACTTTACATATATAAGATTCCAACAATATAAAAGACACATTCACCATTTTCCACGTTGATCTCATACATGGATTTGAAATCGAAATTTGTTTGTATTATTTGATTAAAGAAGAAACCGAGACAATGGCTTTTGTTGTCAATATCTTTTGTCTTGGTTGTAAATTAGTGGAATTCAAGCTTTTACGTGTTAGCAAATCCGGTTGCTATAAATGCACAACTTCCAAACTTATGCCAAGATTGTTGCCAAATCTTGATTTTTAGAATCATCCCATCCCATCCCATCCCATCTAGTATTTTTAGTCCGGAGTCACTGCATTTGAACCTCCGTGACTACAAGAGGTTTTTTATTTATCTTTGGATTTGAACATGAGATCATCTAGTACTTTTGACCTTTGAAGTCAAGCTCAAACCAATCAGACTTATATTATGTTTTTAAAAGGAAGAATTAGATAAATGATTTGTTGGGGTCCCATCCCATCACAATTAAAGAGGCATTGAGCAAAGATGGTGAAGTCTGTGTCTCCCAAAGACATTCACCCTCCAATCAAAACCAAACTGTCCAAATGCTTTCCACACAAACATGTTTTGATTGCAACTTGTAGGCCATACGATATGATACCATCGTTGGTGATGTTACTATCTTTTTTTATATATTTATATACAGAAACATATAAGAATCGATAAATCCAGTATTTATAATAAATGTGCATAAACATACATGAATATTTACGCTTTATGATTCTAAAATCTATGTTGATTTCTTTGATTAAACTGAATTAATCAGTATTTTTTCATACATGTTACTTTATCAGTTGATTTGTTAATTACCATAGTAGATGACTGTATGATCACTTCATTTAATTACTTTTCCATCACAAATTAATCACCATGCTTGTATTGCGAAAATACAAACACAAACTAACCGTTTGTGAATGCTAGCTTTCAATCCAAGACCGTTAATTCTTATCTATACTATCTTATAAAGCATTTGACTAAAACTCTTAAAAACTCTTAAACTCGTTCATCTCTATCCGATTTCAACCCATATCTGAATTCGTGTAACTAACTGCAGATAAACACAATCAAATACTGGATAAACATCTCATTTTAAATATAAAAAATCTAAAATATAATTAGTATAATCATTAAATTCTAACAGAACACTTAATTATTATCTTTATAAAATGTTATATTATTAAACCAATAAATAAATTATTTCATTATTAAACTTAAATTAAATTATAAAAAAAATCTATACTATATTATAAAACATTTGACAAAAACTCTTAAAAACTACTTTTTATGTGTAAAGTACTGTTTATTAATGCATATTACTTAAAACTCAAGATTAAAAGTAGATTGTGCGTAAGTACAGCGTATTAAAGCTCCATAATCGAATTCGTGTAACTAATTGCAAATAAACATAATCAAATACAGGATAAACATCTTATTTTAAATATAAAAAATCTAAAATATAATTAGGATAATCATTGAGTTCTAACAGAATACTTAATTATTATCTTTATAAAATGTTA